GGTTCAAGCGATTCTCCTGCCTCAGCCTCCCTGAGTAGCTGGGATTACAGGCATGTGCTACTATACCCGACTAATTTTTTTTTTGTTTTTTTTTGTATTTCTAGTAGAGATGGGATTTCACCATGTTGGCCAGGCTGGCCTCGAACTCCTGACCTCAGGCAATCCGCCCACCTTGGCCTCTCAAAGTGCCAGGATTACGGGCATGAGCCACCACACCCAGCCGCTTCACTCGCTTTATGATCCATTTGCCTCTTAGAGCATGTATCTGTGGGTTCCCTAAGCTAGTGTGATGTGCATTTCCTGCCACAGGACACTTCCAATGAGAGGGATGGGGTTGGGCCTCCGGCTCACCTTCATTCTGCCCAGCTCCTTGGCTTTCGCATACAGGCTTTGGCCAATGCTCAGCAAATTGAAAATGGGCTGGTTCCATATGCTGTCCAGCAGCCGTTTGGAGAAATTGCTGACGTAGTACTTCTTGAAGTCCCACATCATCAGGATTCGGGCAGGGATGCAGGACTCTGCATATGAGTGGCAGCAGTCACAGAAATACTTCCCTAGGTATTCGCAGTACCGGAGCCGCTTCACAAACTCTGCCAAGCATACCAGAGGGTGAGTGCTGCACCTGGTGCTGAAAACCTATCCTGGTCTACCCCCGACTTCCAATTCCTATGCAAGATGCAAAGACTCTGATGACGTGTTTCATGATGATAAAGCCATACTCAACCTCACGACAGCTGGGAGGGCTCTGGCACAGACTCGGGGAATCAAATCACGGCCATTCATGAGCTCTGCTCTTGTGGAACAGATGTCGGAAAAACAAAACCTTCCCAAAATACTCCTGGATTTGGAAGATGGAAATTGCAAACTGCAGTGTAGCAAAAGGAACATTCATTTTAGGATCTGGAAATCTGGGTGGGAGTCCAGACTCCTCTCACTAGCAGGAAGACTGAAGGCGGGTTGTAATCTCTTTAGGCTAACTGTTCTGAGAGCACAGAATGTGACTCAGAACTGGATTGAGTGATATTACACATATGAAAAGCGCTTTATAAATTGTGAAGCAGTATATATACAACGTTAGGAAGCAGCATCATAAAGATCCCTTGATAAATCGATGAGAAAAAAACACAAAAATGCACAAAGGATGGGAATAGGTAATTCATGGAAAGAAGAAATGCAGATAACTAACAGAGAAAAACAATCTCAGAAACAAAGAAATGCATATTTTAAAAGTGAGGCTGAGTACAGTGGCTTGTACCGGTAATCCCAGCACTTTGGGAGGCCAAGACGTGAGGATCACTTGAGCCCAGGAGTTCAAGACCAGCGTGGGCAACACAGTGGGACCCCATCTTCACACACACACACACACACACACACACACACACACAAAATTAGCCAGGCAATGTGGTGTGTGCCTGTAGTCCTAGCTACTTGGGAGGCTAAGGCAGGAGGATCGCTTGAAGGTGGAGGCTACAGTGAGCCATCATCAAGCCACTGCATTCCAGCCTGGGCAACAGAGTAAGATCCTGTCACAAACTGATGACAAATAATAAAATGAAATTGGAATGAAATGAAAGAAAAGAAAAGTGAGATACTCTGTTTTGACTCAGCCTGTCATAAATTTAGAAGACCCAGACTGGTGCAGTATCTAGAGGAGGGCACTTACGTCTAGCACTGATAGAACTAATTTACAGGAAGACATTTTTGTGATAGACTTCAATTCTTACGTGTACAACAGTAATCCTGCGTCTGTGACTCCATCAGACAGAAGTGCTAACAGGTACACACAGTGACATAAAAAGATATTCATTACAGCACATTTATAATGGGGGTGGCAACCAAAATGTTCATCAAAAGGCAATTGATTAAGTGTGATGCACTCAACGTGAAAGGCCGTACAGCCCATAAAGTACATGGAAGAGCATGGGAAGTGGACATCCAGTTACAAGTAGGTACAATGTGATCTCAATTTTATTTAAGAACATATATATAAACATACACATAAACACATATGCACTGTCTAGATCTCCACCAAAAAGCCAACAGTGACTATTTCTGGA